TCCTATATTTTCTTATGAGAATTTTCAAGCACACATGAAGTTGAAAAAATTGCTCCTGTGAAAACTCATCTACCCATGAGCTAGATTCTATCACAAGCATCTCCTTGCTTTAACACATACACACCTCCTCTATCCATTCTTCTATCTGCCCATCAATGCTTTCAATTTTCAGATGCAGTTCAGAGCAAGTGGTACACTTCAATCCGGAACTTCAGCATGAACTAGAGTTTGGCGTTTGTGTGCGGTTCCTACAGAAGATATTTTCGACATAAAAAATAAAACAGGGGGGCTGGGGGAGGGAGGGATGTACAGGCAGAGCGCAGAGGATTCTTAGGGCAGTAAAATTACCCTGGATGATACTGTCGTGGTGGATACGGGTTATTTATTATGCATTTTTTTTCAAACCCATAGAATGTCCAACCACGAGAGTAAACTCTAATGTGAACTGTGGGTCTTGGGCGATCATGATGTGTAGCACTTGTAACAAACGTGCCACTCCGGTGCAGAATGTTGATGATGGGAGAAGTTATGACATGTGGGGACAGAGGGAATATGGAAAACCTCTGTACCTTCAACTCAGCATTTCTGTGAATCTAAATCTTCTCTAAAAAATAAAGTCTATTAAAAAATTTTTAAATAAAATATACAACCTAGATCTAACGGAGGACTGGCAAACTAGCCTCCCATGGGCTGAATGTTGCTCTCAGATGTGTTGGTTTTGCCAGCCCAGTGTGTATTCCCGTTCCTCCCATTATCCCTGAAATAATTCACATACACACTCCCTCGTCTTCCACTTCCTAAAAGAGTTCATCTAAGTCCCACCCCAGGACCTTTGCACTTATTTTTTTCTTCTACATGGGCTGCTCCCCTCACCCCCTAGCCCCACACCCCTTCACCTAAGTAACCCTTGCTTAACCTTCATGTCTCAGCTGAAACATCACTTCCTCCGAGAAGCCTTCCCTGACTGCCAGACCACATAAGATCTCCCTGGTACATGTTGTCTCATTCCTTTAACTTTTTCTTTATAACCCTATCCAAGGTTGTGTGTGTGTGTGTGCACATGTGTGTATAAATTGATTCATGCTTATCTCTTCCAGTTGACTTTAAGATCCAGGAAAGCAGAGACCTTGTCAACTTTAAAAAAAAAAAAAAAAACTGCATACCCAGAACCCAGTGCAGTGGCTAGCACACCCACCTCCAGTTTGCTACAGGCCCCACCATTCCCTATTGCCTTCCCAACTCTGAGTAAAGTATCTGTGGTAATTTATGTTATGTTTGTGTTGCCACTTTTTTTAAAGAATTATTTCTTCAGATGAATGCCTCTATCAAAGGGTGGAGAAATAGAATCCTGACCAAGAACGCCAATCGTTTCCAGGAAAATGGGAGATGGCATATTTCTTTATGGAAGTGAAGAATGTATGATATTTTTGCCTCACTCATGTTCATTATGTGTCTAGGCTTCTAGGCACTTTAGCTTGCAAATCCTCCCCTAATGTTCTGCATATATTTCTATTATAGTTATTTATTATTAATAGTTTCATTTAAGATTTATTTCTGGACACCTATGTGGCACTGCTCTTGGCCCTGGGGACACAGTGGAGGACAGAACAGATGAAGACCCTGCCTTCATGTCATAGAGCCCACCTTACAATGTATGACACCTTACAATGTATGACAGTTTTTGCTCATGTGCCTGTCCTTCCACTTGACTGAACTCCCCAGTGGTTTCAACACAAGCTTTAAGGTCAGACTGCCTGGGACCCAATCCCAGCTGCGTGGACTTGAGCAAATGATTAAATGTCTCTGAGCCTTGGTCTTCTCACCTGTGAAATGGGGCTAATAATTGTACTTTCCTTCCAGTGTTACCATGAGGATAAAATTAGTAATGCCTGGTTTATTTGTCTCTAAATAAACTTTCAATAAACGTTAACTCTTATTACTCAGCTCTATCCCCTAAGCAGAACAGGCTTCATGGGCATGTGACCCATGTAGTCACACAGGGCCCCATGCTTAGAAGGACTCCATGCTTGGTTCAATGCTCGGCTGTTGCTGTCTGGAAATTCTTAATAAGTTTTGAACGAGGGACTCCTCCTTTTCGTTTTGCACTGGGCCTTGCAAATTATGCGGCTGGTCCCGACCAGCACATATTGAGCGTCCGTCCAGTAAAAGTCTGTTGAAAGAATGAATAAATAAATGGATTTAGCCAACCACAGTTGTTGGTTTGAGCACAGCACTGTCATACAGAGCCGGTCAAGTGGATCAGGCCATTGAGCAAAGTTAAATAGATTTTTGTTATTAACTCATCCTGCCCCTTCCCTGGGACCAAGAACACCCAAAGCCTGACGCAAAACCTTAAAGATCTTCTTATCCAAAGTATCTATTTCCCAGGAAATTTGGACCTTAACAAGCTGCCAAGGTTCCTGATGGAGCCACCAGAGGACACGGTCCCATGTCCCGTTCTCCACAATGGCAGTCTGTGACATTGCCACCACTTTCCTCCCATTCTCCCTGCTCAGCATCCCTGAAACAAAGATACACCTGTTCTCCTCCATCCCCATTTTACAGATGGGGAAATAAAGGCTCAGACACACTAAGGCCCATCAAGACTCCTCATGCAGCCCAGCCAGGTTTCTAGCTTCATAAAGAGTCTCTAACTACAGCCCCAGAATTCAAACCATTCAAGTCGTTTTTGGAGTGACTAGTCATACGTGATCATTGCACGCTGAATCCGAGACTGTGACGCCCAGCCCCGACAGCATCCCCTGCTCTCACACTCTGGCCTGCAAAGACAAAACAGACAGACTCCTCTCCCTGCACCCTGCATGTCCCAGGCTGGTGCGTGCTGAGTCCTCTCAGTCTTTCATGATTCACGGTGAGTCTGCCACATGCAGGCACCGTGTGAAGCTGGGGGTGCACAACCAGGAACAAAACGGACAAGAGGCCCTTCCCCTTCTAAGAGGGGACACAGGCAAGAAGCAAAATAAATAAATGCAATGCGTATGGTCTGCTGCAGGTGCTGAGCACTGCGGAGAAAAATCAAACAGGGAGGAACAAAGGAAGTGAATATTTTGGGGTGGGGAAGGGAGTAGATATTTCAATTTTAAATAAGATTGCCAGGGAAAGCCTCCAAGAGTGGAGAACATACGAGCAAAGACCTGAAGACGGTGGGGAAGCAGGCCACGCAGCTTTCTGGAGGAAGAGCATTCCAGGCAGAGGGAACAGCCACTGCAAAAGCCCCGAGGCCCGATGCATGATTCACAATGCTCAGACTGGAAGGGCTGTCCCAAATCACAACACTGCCCCCTGCCAATTTCTCACCTCCGCCTGTAGACAAATCCAATCTATAGGTTTTTGAACAATTATTTATTGAGCCACAACGATGGCCAGGCACCTCCTTATTTATCAATGCAGTGGTGTTTTTGCTTTGTTTGTGTTTGCAGTAGTCACATTTAAACAATGAGAGAGGGCACAATAAAATGTCAATATCTAATGGGGCTTGAAATCTCAGGCCCAGCTTCATGGAGCTCATGTGACTTTGTAATAATCTGTCCCTTTGGGGACAGGAGGGGCCTGTACCTCTCTGCTCATCACATACCAGGCAGGACCAGCAGATCCTTGGGCAGTTTGCCTGGCTCTGTGTGCCTGGAGTTTTCCACCCTGCCCTGCCCCGCCCCTCCACCCCCCGTCCCTGCCTGGGGGACCCCTAACAAAGACAGAGACTGGACACATGCGCATCACTGGACATGAGGGGCAGGGGTCCCCTCCACCTTGGGAGACCGGCAAGAGGCCGGAGAAAGCCGGTTCCTTCTCTCCAGGGTTGGGTGTTATAGGGGGTGCAGGCCTCTGGGGAACCAACGAGGGGGAGGTCTGAGATTTCTCGGAGCCCAGCACGTGCTCCTAGAAGTGCCCTGCCTCCCTCCCAATCCTGCAAGATCTTTAACTGTCTCACACACATCATCGCGAGCCCTTAGACTGACGTCTCTCCCCTCCGAATTCCGTGGTGGCCCCAAGAACAGCTGCAGTGGGACCCTGCCTACCGTGAGGAGATGGGGTGCCCGTCCACTGCACGGCTCGGATCCCACCTGCCTTACCAACACCTCCCTTTGCACAACCTTCAAACACTCCGCGCCGCCCCGGTGGCTCCCACGTGCGTTCTCGTGTGTGCTTGGAGTGCCCTGTGAGCGTGGCCCGGGCGTGGTGATGAGGGTGCCTGTGTTCTCACGCATCTGGGTGTGGGGTGGGGGGCGCCCGTGTGCCCGAGTGCGTGTGAGTGCACCCGCGTGACTGGGTGCTGTGTGTCTTTGTGTGTGTGTCTGCGTGGCGGCAACATCATCGTCCCAGCCGGAAAGGTGGCATGTGGCCAGCTTCTCTTGGCCGGGCTGCATCCCATTAAACGCACTCCAACTGGGGGACCGTCACCGCTGGCCGCCTCCGGAGTCAACACAGGCGCAGGGACGCGTGCACCCCTCTTTCTGGAGCCCGCACGCTCAACCCCTGGTCCGGGAAGACAGCCCTTTAGCATCCTCGCTGCTCCCCCTGCCTCCCCCGGCCTCCCCCTGCGGCCCCCTGCCTCCCTCTGCCTCCCCCTGCGGCCCCAGCCCGCCCGGTGTGGAATCCTGTCTGGAGATGGACTGGGCGCGCTGGCGAGGGGGACAGAGGCGGCGGCGAGGAGAGCGGAGAGAGGCGAGCCGAGGGCACGCGGGAGGAGCCGCGGCGGGAGACGAGGGTCCCACCCACGCCACGCCCCTCGGCCGGGCTGCAGGTGGGGCCGTGCGCTCTCCGCCGCCCTCCCGGGGTTCCCAGGTGTCGCTCCAGCGTCCCCCGGAAACTGCAGCCCAGAGAGGCGGGGTGAGACCCCTCCTTCCCGGCGCCCCCCAACACACACACGCGCGCACACACACACACACGCACAGACACACGCACGCACGCGCACAGGCGGCTGCTGATTGGCTGCGGGAGCGGCGGCCCAGCCCCCGGCTCCGAGGCGGGAGCCCAGCGGGTCCGAGGCGGGAGGCGCACACGGGCTCCGGGAGCCCCTCCCGAGTCCCGAGTCCCCGAGTCCCCGAGTCCCCGCGCCCCGCGGGAGGGCTGAGCCGAGCCGGGCGAGCAGGTGCAGAGCGAGCAGAGGGGACCACGGCCAGGGGTGGAAGCAAGTCCCGCGCGCAGAGAGGCGCCGCCGCTCCAGCTGTCGCCGCCGCCGCCTCCGACCAGCGTCCAGAGCCGGGCTGGCAGGCAGGGCGCGGAGCGGCGAGGGCAGCGAGGGGCGCGCTCATGGAGCACACGCACGCCCACCTCGTCACCAACAGCTCGCTGTCCTGGTCCCCCTGCGGCTTGGGCTTCGTGCCGGTGGTCTACTACAGCCTCTTGCTGTGCCTCGGTTTACCAGGTGAGGAACGTGGCGGGTGAGGGAGGGCAGCCAGAGGCCCCAAGGGCCGAGAGCCCCTGCCCAGAGCCCCCAGCCCCGTCCTCCTTCCCCGCGCGTCCCCTGCGCCCCTCTGAAAAAGTTTACCCCTTAGGGGCAACTGCGGAGATTTCCAGACTGGGGGAGAGGAAGTTGCGGTGCCTGGCGGGGCTGTGTGTGTGTGTGTGTGTGTGTGTGTGTGTGTGTGTGTGTGTGTGTGTTACGAGCGCGGTGTGGGTGTGAGTTGGTGTGAGTGTGGATTCGAGTGTGCGTGTGTGCGCGGAGGGTCGGCGTCCGTGAAGCGTCCGTGGAGGGCTGTGTGTGACTTGGCTGCATGTTCTGCCCAGATTTCCTGGAGGCTTCCTCTCTCCTAGCCCCGGGGCGTCCACCCCATTCGGGGGCTCCTCTGCCTGTCACTGCCTGACATGGCATGCAGCCGGTCACCCTGACGCTGGGCACTCTCTTGCTCGAAGGCACCCTGGGATGGGACAAGGATGTGCCCTTGCTGCCCACCCCTGAGCGAGAAAGGGTCCCCCCCCCCACTGGCTGGGAAGAGGCAGGGGTGGCTCTGGGACCGTGCTCTGGCCAGGGCAGGGGTGCGTGAGACACACAGGCTGCCTCCTCTGCCCAAGGGGTCACAGTCTCCTTGAGGACATGCCCCCCCACCCCGGGCAGCTCAAGGCTGCTGCAAATAGCTGGCTGGTCCCACATCTTCATGTCCTCTCCGAAGTGTGGCTGGGACTTGTGCTGAATTCCTGAAGAGAGCTGAGCTGCTTGGGGGGTGGGGTGGGGGTTGCTTGCCTGGGCCGTGAGAGAGAGAGACAGAGACAGAGACAGAGACAGAGAGAGGTTTTTCCAAAGCTCCGGTATTGGATGCCCCTTCTTCCAGACAGTCTCTGTGGCAGATAGATTCCTGAAGATCACTTGCATGCAGAGAGGAGAGAGAAATAAAAAGGAGCAGAAAGAAAAATCCAATATACAGCCTAAAATCGTAGCCTCATCTACCCAGTCATCTTCGAGTCTGAGAACCTTAGCATCCTGGGATCCCAGGAACTTGGGTGCCGAATTGCTCAGAGCCTTGCCGAGATTTCCTTTCCAAAACATCCAACTTGGCAGCCAGGGCCCCTGATGAGATCGTTTAAACAAACCCCCCCCCCCCACCCGCAGCACAGTTTGGCAGGCAAGAGAAAGCACAAGTTTACTGATGTGTGAGTGTCTCCCCCGGCCAGTGATGAGGCTTTTATTCCTAACTAATCGCTCCGGCTGCCCTCGGAGAGCAGCTCAGCTCAGCTCAGCCTCCGATTCGCCCTGCCGGGGTGGCAGCACGTGTCCTGTAATTACCTCGAGCCGAGATTGATTTCCATCCAGGCTCTACCTCCCCCTTCAGCCCTCCTGAGCCTGTCCCCGGAGCACTCTTTTGGGAAATGAGTTTTTGAGGAGGTTGGTTATTGGTGATGCTTGCCGAACCGGAAAAGCGGCAGGCTCTCTCCCCCTCCGCCCTCCCATCAGCAATGTCCCTGGCCCCCTCCCGCCCTTCCGTCTCCTCTGCTGATGGCAGTGGCCACTCACTCACCCTCCCAGGCTTTTCTGATGAAAACCCTCCAGGCGTCAGAGGCATAAGGACAGCAGGGAGGCTGACCCTGCAAGAGTCCAAGGCAGGGCCATGAGGATGGGGAACATGAGAAAGCTCAGACCTTCCAAGACCTCCAGGTGGAAGTCAAGGTACGTTAGACCTTCCCGGCCTGACTCCTGTGCCAGCTCCAGCCTTCCTGACCCGCAGCATCGGCAGCCACTGTGTGCCGGGCACCGCACTGGGCTCACGCTTAGCCCAGAGCTTGAGACTTAGAAGAGTGAAGTTAGGAGTAGAGCTTGGCAGGTATCGGTGTGTTCTTACACTCGGCTAACGGTTGTGAGCACCCACAGCGTGCCCAGTGTTGAGGACAAGTAACCAAGGGACTCCAAGACTCCTAAGGTGCAGACCCTGAGTCCGAGGAGCTCACAAATGGAAGTGTATGATTCCAGAGGGCAAATGGATGCAGAAGGACCCAGCAACATGGAGAAGAATGACCAGGGAGACCAGGCTTGTCCAAAAGTCAGGAACTGATAGCTGTTTTGTTACCATCCCACAAGGTTGGTTCAAAGGTGAAATCCCTAAGGCATCCTCTTAGAACCATAACAGGAGGCAAGTATGTGCTGGCAACTAAGAACGAGTGTTAATCCAGCTCTGCTGGTTGTGGGCTTTTCAAGTATTTGTGCCTCAGTTTCCACATCTTGTAAAATGGGCATTAGGAGAGTGGTTACCCCCTGGAATGGTGGTGAGCAGGGATGATGTTGCTTGAGATGATGGTGCAAGTCAGTCGCTCAGCTTGGTGACTGACACTCATGGATCAAAGCTGTGCTGCTGCACTCGTGGCTGCCACGAAGCTGATTAGTTGTACCGGAGGTGCTGCGGCTAGCCCCTGCCCGCCCCACAGGGAGCCAAAGGAGGGCCTGAGAGGTGCCCAGAGGAGAGCACTTAGCTCAGCATGTGATTCCTTTTGCAGAGCTCACCACAGCAGTCCCCACCCTGTCACCCCCAACCCCCCACCCTGCCACAGCAATTAGCAAACCCTCATTACCCTCCCGCTGACTGGGAGCCTGACAAGGCTGGGTGTGAAGTAACAGACCACAGGCCTTGCTAATATTGTTGAAAACTGAGATTTTAATTGAATCACTGTTCCTGGCAGTGGACTCACCCCTAGTTTTCCATCCTTGCAGCAGTGGTTGGAGACGTGGATGGGAACTAAGGGATGGATGGCGAGTGTTTGGCAACGGGGTGGGGGGGTTAGTCACTAGGGGAGAGTGGCAGTGTCTCTGACCACCTTCAGTTTTCTAGGTTGGGAAGACAGGCTTGGGAAAAGGCATGTGGTCCAATCCTCTGCTTTTAGGAATTGCCCCAGTCCAATTTAACTGGTCTGGTGTGGGATCCAAGGAATTCTAACGTGAAGGATGGGGAGAGAGCTCCGCCACTTACGAATCCTCACCTCCCTGCACCACAATTTTCCCCATCTGTAAAATGGGGGTAACAGTAGAACCTATTTACCCCACACAATAGTGTATATGTAGTAAGATAATCTATGCAAAAATGGCCTAGTACAGTGCCTGGTCCAAGGAAAATGCTTATTACGCAGTGTCTTCTCCACACCAGATCTTTGTCACCTATACTATTGCACTTATTCACTGCCACACCCCTGTGACCGAGACATACCTCTGAACGTGTGTTACAGATGAGCAAACTGAGATCCGGAGAAGTACAGCATCTTGTCTGCACTCACATGGTTGAAGCAACATGCAGACACACCTGTGCTTGTCACTGTGTCACATCACCTTCAGGACCGCCGGGAAGTTGTTTCCACTAACCTCGGTCCCTCACGCTATGTGCACGGTGGAAAAATTGGTGTCCCAGCTGTTCCTAAATCCCCATCTCTTTCCCTCTCTCCTCCTTCTTCAGTAAGCAAGCTGCTTCTCAGTTCTGGGGACACATAACATAAATCAGCAGAGCCAGCAAGGAGGGTTAGGGGACACAGGCTAGGCTCGCCGAGACAAGACAGTGGGAAAGAGAAGGCAGCGTGGGAGGAAAAGACGAACTTGAACCCCTGGGGGAAGACAGTGAGCGGAAGGATGGGTGAGCCCGCCTGATAAGGAAGGAGCAGCGTGAAATTAAACTGAGATTTGAGAGTATTTTTTAAATGTTGCCTTCTAAAAGGTGCCACGGATGTTAAGAAAGACAAGGTGAGGACGGAGATGATAGCTGGAAACTGCACGCCGCCCAACAGAAGGGAGCATGTCTACAACTGCCAGGCGAGGGTGATAATATCTGCCTCCGAGGGTTGGCGGGAGATGACGAGGGCTGGCAGGTAATAAGCGAGCCTGACACGTGAGAGTTGCCGTGGTTAACTAGAGGCAGGAACCCGGTAGCCTGAAGGCTGGACTCAGCCCTGCAGGTGTATCTTCTTTAGCCCGAAAACATCTTTAATTGGAGAAAAGGTAGTAAACAGGTTAAGAATACAAACTCTGGAGCTAGATCTCTGAGATTTGAGTCCTGGCTTTGCTGCTTAAAGCTGTGTGACCTTAGGCAAGTGCCTTTAACCACTCCATGCCTCGATTTCCCCATCTGTAAAGTGGGAGGCGATGATAATTATAGTCCACACTTCATAGGGTCTCTGTGAAGATTAAGTGTCTTAAGTACTGAATACAAAACCTGGCACACGGTAATCACCCAGTAAGTTATTTTTTCATCATTTAAAAATTAGGAGAAATTCCAAACTCATTTTATGACACTAGCTTTACTCTAGTATCAAAACCAGACAAAGACATGACAAGAAAAGAAAACTATAGCCTAATATTCTTCATGAACATAGGCACAAAAACCCTCAACATGATATTAGCAAACCTAATCCATTGATATAGAAGGACAATATAGCAAGTCCAACTTGGGTTTATCCCAGGAATGCACAACTGGTTCAACAGTTGAAAATCATTCCATATAATCCACCTTATTAATGAACTAAAAAAGAAAACCCATATGATCCATCTCAATATATGCAGAAAAAGCATTTGACAAAATTCAATATACATTCATGATAAAAAAAATCATTAAACTTGGAACAGAAAGATAACGTCTTTAACCTGATAAGGGATTATCTATAAATAACCTACAGCTTAGCACATTTTATGATGAAAGACTGAATGCTTTTCCCATAAGATCTGGAACAAGAATGACTGCTCTCACCACTCCTATTCAATATCATACCAGGAGTCCTGGCCAGTGCAATATGGCAAGAAAAAGAAATAAAAGGTATACAGAAAGGAAGAAACTAAGTTGTTTCCGTTCATAGATGATATAATGGACTTCATAGAAAATCACAGACTCCACCCCCAAAAAGCTTCTAACAAACTAGCAAGTTAGTTTAGCACATTTGCAGGATACATGGTTAATATGTAAA